GATGGTGTCCGATCATCAGCGAGACTGGGACCAATATCTCCCGTTCTTCACAATGGCCTACAGATCTGCTGTTAATGAATCAACAGGCCAGACACCAGCCAAAGTCCTATTCGGACGCGAGATGCGACTACCTTGTGATCTAGAGTTTGGGTGTCGACCTGGAGAAGATGTAGCAGGTGGAGATTATGTGATCGAATTACGAAGAAGAATGGACGATGTACACGAGTTGGTCCGTTCCCATCTCCAGATCGCTAGTGACCGAATGAAGAAACGGTACGATACGCAAGCCGAGAAGGGGTGTTTTAAGAAGAACGATAAAGTCTGGCTTTATAACCCCAAAAAGCGAAAAGGTTGTTCTCCCAAATTGCAGCAGTTTTGGGAAGGTCCATACCTCATTATGGAGAAGATCAATGATGTTATTTACCGAATAAGCAAGATTCCGAGAGGAAAGCCGATGATAGTACACCATAACCGGTTGGCGTCTTTCGAGGGTGACCACGACGTAGATGAAGAAGTGGAAGTAAACCAAGTCCAAGATGTGTCTGACCTCACGTTTGAGGAATTCATGGGTGCCTATGGGGGTACCGGTAAAGCAAGATATGGTGTTACCACTGAAGAAAGGCAAGATCTACTCGCGCTCCCCGATGACTACTCACTGGCCCTTACCATCCCGGCCAGTATCAAAGATGCACCAGGGTTGGCATCCGTCTTTCGAAGGAAGTTTGGTCGAGTTGCAGAACTTCAATGCCAAGTGCCAGCTCCTGGTAAAACCTTGAAACTTCAAGATGCATCACGTTACCTTTTCTACCTGGTAACAAAAGACACTGCCCGTGACCAACCTACCTACCGAGATGTATGGGAAGCCTTACTTCAGTTGAGAGAGCACGTACTAGAGTCCGACGTGCAAAAGTTAGCCATGCCAAAGTTGGAGTGCCGCCAATTAGATTGGAGGGTTATCCGAAATATGGTGGAGGAGATGTTTAAAGACACCGAAGTCCAGGTGTTAGTCTGTTGCAATCCGCATAGTTACTGGTGCGGAGAGAAAACCGTCCCTTGTCATTTCTATACAACCGGAAGTTGTAAAAGAGGGTCCAGTTGCCGATATCAGCATGTCGTTCCAGTTCCAGTCCCGACAAGGTTCCAGGAGGAACCATCTTTTAAGAGGGGGGCAATGTTACGATTTTAAATGTTATGGCGTATAGAACTGTAAATATTTTATGACTAATTCTTTTGTATTGATTCTCGTAATTTCTAGGTCAAAAAAATCTACCTGACAAACAACAATCGAATGTTCTGGGGGCGACAAGCCGATAAAGGAACATGTTTTGAGACCAGTCGCCGCCGTGTCTACGTCGAGATCGAGAACGGCATCGTATTTTCTACAAACATTCTGTTACAAGCTGGTTTCATATAAATACCGGAAGAATTTCATTGAGGAGTTAGTCATAAGAAGATCGGTAAACGCGGTTTACTTGTACGAAACGTGAAATACATACATTTGTAAAGTTATTTAATAAATTAGTAATTAGCTATCGTGAGTTTTAATAAATTAGATTATAGACAATAAATTAGAATAAAGACAAATAAATTCGAACTATATAAATATATCACACTATAATTGTTTGGGGAAGAAAATCTCTTACAGCGCGAACGGACCTTGTTACTTCATGAAGAAGTTCCTTAACAAGTAAAAGGTACATTACAGATATTTTGTTTAACCACGTAGTTCTATTTGCTCTTTACATAGGTATATAATATTTCTTTCTATAAGCATATTTCTTTTATTGCATGATAACGCTCGACCACATCTTGCACGTGTGGTCCATGATTATTTGGTCGGGGTTGGAATATAAACCATAAACTGGCTACCCTGTAGCCCTGATCTAAATCCCATGTGAGAATTGGTAGCATATTATTAATCGCCAACTCAGATGTTGACAATCACTACCTGTCTCTCTTGACGGCATAGAAGTTAGGGTGAGAGAAGTTTGGGATGCAATCGATTAAGACCAAAGAATCATTGTCTGGGTGTTTTTTTCTGTGGGTGGGTTCTTTGTTTCTGGTGTTTTGGTGTCCTGTTTTAGGTTTTTCACCTCTTCAGCACGTGGTTTGTTTTTTTTGTGTTGGCTGTTGTTTTTCTTTTGTTGGCTTCGTGGTTCCACTGGTGGTTTGTTCTTGGACTTGTCGTCGCAGGAACGCACTGAACCATCAGAGGCGAAAGGGGTATTGGCGAAACGGTCCTTTTCAGAATTTATTGTTCTAAAAAATAAATTTATGGATGTGTGAATATATATATATATATATATATATATATATATATATATATATATATATATATAGGAATTAGTTACTTTAGTCTTAAGTTAGAACTTATCGTTACGCCACTGTTCGAGCGCTGGGAACCAGGTGTTCAGGCAAATGGGTACGGATTCGACGACGTGAGAGCGACGTGATAAGACGTAGCAGAGAGAGCGGTTAGCTGCCGAAGGGTACGGCCAGAGAGCGTGCCGGGAATGACGAAAGTACGGTATGTGCATGTGCGGCATACAAAGTGACGAAACAAACGACGGTATGTGCTATAACATACATTGACGACGGTATGTGCGAAATCAGAAATCATACACAACGACGCTATCGAGTGATAAACGACGGTACGACGATAGACACGAGACATTTGCGATTAAGAGTGATATTGCTATTGTGCACGAACATTATTACCTAGACAAACAGTTGTAGTGACGATAATAAATAATTTTAGTAAGCAAAGCCTTATTTTACACCCTAGACAACACAACAAAGCCTACATATATATATATATATATATATATATATATATATATATATATATATATATACTATTATATTTACAATTTGGTAGATTAATAAATGCGTTGAATCGCGATGCGCGTAAGAGCAGCTGTGGCTGTATCATTTTCAACAGACAAGTATCATTGTACAATGGGATCGGAAAACCACAGAAAACCGATCCCTTCCTGTCTAGGCAAGCTCTAAGTGAGCATTTAAAAGTTATTGCGACGACGGTAATAGAGGGGAGTTGCCTCCTGGATGTCAATGTATTCATCAGGGAAAGTAAAATTGAGAGAAGAAAAGGGATTTTGGGTTTAGGTTTTCTTGCCGATGGATGAGCATAGTTTTCAAAATGTTTTGGGCTCTGAAGTTTTGGCCACGGATGGTTCTGATCGATCCGGTCACAGAGCTGTTGTCGATCCCCCCAGAGTCTAAGTTGTGTCTTTCGGATATGATGGGTGTAATGAATCTGCTGCGATGTGGATGTCTGAAGAGAATCATTTGTTTTATTTGGATTGGGCATTACTCTCCATCTCCGACAACACCTGTCGACCAGGTTAAGGTGATTTTAAATAAACCCAAATACTGAATCTACGTCTCGTGATGTTGTGATCAAGACCAAATACGCCGCTTGATTTTAAGCATGCCTCGTCGCTGTGAAGAAGTAATTAGATGTAGAGGTGGAAGGAGTCGTTATTAGGTATTTCTGAAAGAGGGAATTGTTAAAAAGTATTTAGGATATATTTTTTTAGGCTTTAGTTGTATTAAATGTCAATAAAGCTTATATAAGTATTGTTTTTTCCTTTAAATGTTATTAATAAAAACTTATTACATTTAAAGTTCTGTATAATCTTTGATCATAGAAATATCGAGATAACTTTTTACGAACATGTTAAGAAATGATGAGACTATCAATCTCAAAATAATAATAAGATGTAGCGTTTCTAATCAATTCCACAGGGTGTTGCAAAATACGATGAAAAAAACACAACCGGCAACAGTAGTGTATATAGTATCAATAAACATTTACGGATCAGTTGAGAATATGGCATAATGGCAGCAGCGATATGAATAACTTTATATTTTTGATATTACACCTGACATATATATGATTATAAACACACAAACAAAAAATACCTACACATTTTTATTTAAAAAATTTCCTTTATAAAAGGTATATTAATAAAAAACCTACCGAGCTACATCACAGAACGTTTTTGAAATAACTAACCCATTATCATTACTATCCTAAAATAAGTATAACCACTTTAATTATAGCAAACGTGAGAGTTAAATGGCAAGATTGGGTCTGTTGCTACTGTGATCCGCAGCAACGAGATGTGATACCATCACGTATCGTACATGAGAAAAATAATTATCTAAGCAATACTTCAGAACACTGGTAAAGTCAGAGGGATTGCAGCCCTGATACGGTACGGACATAATTTAAAGGCTTATAAATTTAGTACCAATTGGTGGAAACAAAATAGACCTGCAGACAAAAAGTAGTTAATCGCACGGTAATGGTACTCTTGCTGCTACTACCATAGCATAGTTTTTTATAGAAAACAGCGAAGATGACATTCTATGCTTTTGTGACAAGTATAATTACTTTTAGCAAGCGCTAATTTTGATTGTTAGAATATAAGCCTTAACTATTTTAACCTTCGTACGAACGTTGGTTAATTCTATTTTAGTTGCTTGTGGTCAATTCTTCGCTCCTAATTTATTCCAAGGTATTGGTACATTTCTGGTGGTGTCCTCAATGTTTTGATCGTTTTTCATATCAAATGCTCATGTTTAAATTCTTTCGTCGACTATATTAAAAATTCAATAGTCTCTTCTCGAGTTTGCTTTACGGTTAATATTAGTTAAGTAAATTTTCATAACTTTTAGCATTTGATCAACACGGTTGTGTTTTATATAATGAGATAGTGGGTTCACCATAAGAAAGAACCAAATCGGACTTTTATATTACTTACAACAATCTTTCCAATCTTAATATAATTCCTCATAAATTTTTATTATATTTATTTATTATATTTATCAAGCACATTTTGTCTTTTTAATTAACGTAGTTAGTAGGAGTAATATTCGTACGGCTAGTAACTTATTTATTACAATAGATATAATGGCTTTATAAAGAACCAAATTGTATGTAATAATTTAATCAATTAAATTTACCATATTACCTTTTCAGCAGTACCACCCTCTTGAATGTCAGAAATAAATATTCCCTTGCCAACTCCAGAATGTTTTCCTTCTATTATCATTATTCCTAGACTATGGGTGGGTTCCTATAAGTTAAAGAAAATTAATATTTGATTAAAATGATTATTTAATATATTATATAATGTATATTATATTTATATTATTTATATATATATATATATATATATATTTATATATATATATATATATTTATATATTTATATATATATATATATATTTATATATTTATATATATATATATATATATATATATATATATATTATATATATATTATATATATATATATTATATAACTGTTGCTAAAAAATTTAATTTTGATTGTATAAAAAGTTTAAAATATTAGGTAGCTAACGTAGGATCCATATTATTTAAAAGTGAATGCATTATATAAGTGTATATGAATGTATATGTATATGACGGTATACCGCAAGGTTACTACACCCGTCTCGATTTTTCCAGTCACGCTAAATAGGATTTCGGGACGGTGCAAAACAGCATACCGAGCGATAAGAAGTATAAATAAATTTCAGAACATCGATGTCTCCAAGGTCCACTTAAAGTTTCTAATTTTGTTTCTTCGTGAATGCATTTTTTCTATACTTAAGTATATATTTATAAATTGACGAAATTTATATATATCAGCTAATTTTCTGTGTCCATAATTTGTAAAAATCTTCGCTTATCTTATCACATGTTCAACCTATCCGCATATTTTCACAATAACAGGTATTTTCACAGTAACGCCTTGAGATCAGTGTTTGTGATCTCCTTCGATAATATCCTTTTAATTTTGTGTCATTTCTATCATTTTCATACCGTACAACATTTACCGTAATTTATGGTTGTGTTGGAAGGGAAGCTTTTGAAATGTGGCTTTATCGCCGTATCCTAAAAATACCATGGACAGCGAAAATCACAAATATAGATGTCCTTAAAAGAATAAACCAAGAACGCCAACTTTTCGAAACCATCAAGAAAAGGAAAACGGCGTATCTAGGTCACATCATGCGAAATGAAAAATACCAGTTCCTCCAACTTATAATCGAGAGTAAAATTGAAGGCAAGAGAGGAATGGGACGCAAGAAAATGTCCTGGCTCCGAAACATAAGGCAATGGACAGGGATTAACGACATACAATCTCTGATACATATTGCAAGAAATAGAGAGCAAGAAGAATGGTTGTGAGTTGTTATTATCTGAATGCTTCTCTCTAATCTCCAATATTTTTTAAAGACTATAAACCGCTTCTCTCTGGATTATGATTCTTCTATATTTGTAATGTAACAATTATCCGTCATCTTTAAAACCATTTAGCAAAATTTGGTAGTTTAATGAATTTAACCATTTCCTGTCCGATTTAATGTGTCCAGTAACATCACTGTGTAGTCTTTAGTTCCTAACAGGTTCACTGCCGAAGTGGTCACATAGGCCAACGGTATGACATTCCTCACGCGACTTTTAAGGTTACCACAGGAAGACATGTTTTTAAACAAATGTTTCTTCTACAAAGTTTAAGAACCTACATTCACTTATTCTGCTTCGTTTTACTTTAATGTTTCCGTTTCCCTTTCGTCTAGCATTATTTTTTTGAGTAAATTTTTAATTTGTTTTGGTTTCTGTTGAGTGATAAGGTTATTTTTGTTAATTCATATACGTTGATAGTAGATGATACGGTAACAATATTTCTTCATTATTTTCCTCATTTTTCTTTTGTCCTTCTTTCCTTACCCAGAAACCTTCTCCTATTATCATCTTTATTCAATCCCTACAGTACCATTATACCTCGAAATACCTTTCTGACTTTCTGAAATTTCCTTATTTCCATTTTTCATCAGTGTCATTTTAAAGCAGACAAGAAGACATCTATTACTATTAATAATATATTTATTTATAGGAAAGTAGTTAACCAATTCTCCCACCGGAGTTAACAGTCCTTAACGCCAAAGAAGAAAAAGAAGTGCCAGAAATTATTTTAAAAGATATCTCCCTTGATAAGATCCACACAATTAAAAGAAAATACAATCAAATTCAACCTGTGATACTAAAACATCTTAAAGACCGTCCCGTCAACCATGGGAGTATTATAAAATATATTTTACTAATGACTATTGTTATCTTAATTGTTATCTTATTATCTTAATAGTCAGCCAGTATATCAAGATATTTCTATCAAAAGAGAATCCACACTTAGCACAAGATGAACAATCTACAGAAGAAGATGATCCTACAGTTTCTATATTTAATACAAGGACATTTTTCATTCCATGGCATAAGCAAAGAACTCGCATTGGAGGAGTTGAATTTTTGTAATTGAAGGTTTTATTTCAATATTCGGTTTTCTTAATTTTCATACAGTCACTCTGTTCATAAACTTTATAAAGGAAATATTACTTTTGTATTTTACTTATAACCGATCTTTTACAAACTTTGTGATTTTACAAAATTTAACAAAATAAAATAATAGTTTTTAAAAACAAGTTTAATATTTCTATAGAAAACTTATCATCATGCTTTTAAATGAAATCATTTTTGAGCAACAGAAATACTTGATAATAATACAGCACATGGTTAACAATGAATGGTTGGTCTTTTGTTATTTTTATAGGCCGTCATCTGTGACAGCGATCCATTACTCTTTTAGTTATAAACATCATCCCCACATACTTACAAATTCTTCTTCTTGATGTGCCTATCCGTTACGAATGTTGGAGATCATCATGGCAATCTTTATCTTATCTGCAGCAGTGCGGAAAAGCTCTCTCGATTCTTATTTATTCTTCTGAGGACCTCCTCATTTGTGACCCGGTCAGTCCACGGGATCTTAAGTATTCTCCGATATAGCCACATCTCAAATGCTTCCAGTTTTTTGCACATATCTTCGTTCAAGGTCTACGATTCAACACCATAAAAAAGAGCAGAGAAGACGTAACATCGCAGCATTCTTACTTTTGTATCAAGAGAGAGGTTGTGGCTCTTGAAGAAGGCCACCATCCGATTGAAGGTGGATCTAGCTTTTCCAATACGTGCTCTAATGTCCTGATTGTTGGTCCATTCTTCATTTATTATGGTGCCAAGGTAGTTGTAGTGCGTCACTCTTTTTACAGGATATTGGTTGACGTAGAGTTGACCTTCTGTTATCCTTTTCTTGCTAATTATCATAAGTTTTGTCTTCTTAACGTTTATATTGAGTTCATATTGTTGACTGTAATACGTGATTTTGTTACAATACAATGATGATACAAATAATATGGTGTCATCTGCATATCTGATGTTTTTTAGCCGGTAACCATTTAGTAGAATACCTTTTTTAGTTTCGTGCAAAGCTTCGATTAATATTCTTTTAGAGTACAGATTGAACATTAGAGGAGACAAAATACAGCCTTGCCTCACTTCACGCATGATTTTCACATAGTCAGTGTGTTCACCTTCAACTCTGAGATTTGCTGTCTGATGTCAGTAAATATTTCTAATTATTTTCAGATCTTGGTTGTTAATTCCTGCTTCTTTTAGTATTTGCATCATCTTGGCGTGCTGTACTCAATCAAACACTTTCTCGTAATCAACCAGACATGCGTATACGTCGTAGTTGACGTCTCTGCATCTCTGAAATAAGACTTGTACTGAGAACAAAGCCTCTCTAGTACGAACAGCATTTGTGAACCCGAACTGTTTGGGGGAAATTTGATTTTCGTAGATTGTCTTATGAATTATCTTTAGGAACAATTTTAGGAGATGATTCATGAGGCTTATATGTAGTACGGTAATCTTCACATTTTTTTCGCATATTTACAAATGTTAGTTATTTTTTCATTTAGCTACCAGAACGTTCACGTAAAATAATAAATAAATTTACGTTCACGTAAATAATTTATATTACAATACATTATTTATACACTTCATCTAATTTACATACCGATGCACGTCATCGGCGTTATAGCCCGTGACGTCACATGATACCAACACAAAATATTTAGGCGATAGGTGTGTTCTTTTTTAGAATCACTTTGCCGAGTACACTGGCGTTTACAGCCACCAGATATATTTTATTATATACGCGTAGAAATAATATTTAAAAATTTCTATTAATGTTAACTTAAAGAAATACACAATAATATGTTTCATTTAATTTGTATAAATGCATTATAAAGAGTTTTTATGAAGAACATTTGTTCGGAACACACTGTAACTGTAATCGAACGAAGGTGAAATTTTGGCATAAATTGATAACACTTATTTGACAGTTGAGGTATTGACATTTTTTGTACTTTATTATTTTGAATTTTAAAGTGAATACCTCTTGTTTTATATTTTTACCTATTTAGTAAAATCTGTTCTTTATAGAACAAGATTGTTGTGTTTTATTTAAAAAATGTCACGTAAGAATTTAAATAGTCGTTGTAAAGAGATGGTAATACTTTTGCATTTATTTATTCTAATTATGTGATCTATTTGATTTAAAATGGAGTCAGGATTTTTTTATACTTTGGCAACTATGTCAACTTCGATCTTTGACGTAGATAATGACGTGCATCGGTATGTAAATTAGATGAAGTACATAGTTGTAGCTACTGTAAAGATTTTGGAGACTAAAATAACTACAGTTGTAGCTACTTCAAAGGTTTGAAAACAATGACCTGTGAGTTAATTAATGTCAACTGAAAGAGTTCAGTTAGGTACCATGGTAATTCTATTTCAGCTGTCGGTACTTTATTTCCACCAGTTTTTGCATTTTCATGAGTAAATTATAAAGATTATTTTTAAAAGAATGTCTAGAATGAAATTTGGGAACTACGACTGAATGTGACCTATTTATAAATGTCGCTTTCCTTTTTAACACAAGTAGATGTTGAAATGATCTGCCTATATTATTATTTTAGTTTAAGTCATCACCTTTTGTAATTTTAACGGTATACTATTACGGTTTTTGCACTCTCATACTCCACATAAGATGCAACTCTTAGATGTAGGAATCAATTTAAATCGAACTGTTAAGTTGCATCTCAGGACTGGCATCTCAATAATCTAGGAAAATTAAACATTTTCAAATTAGAGTTTTGCATCTTCTAGTGTTACAGATTGTCAAGTAACACAGATGCATAGGTAATACACAATATATTATAAAAAATTAGTATAGTTAGAGCTTTAATGAAATAATAAATACCTTTCTTAGAACAACTGTACGAACGTTGGGAAATTTATCGTTAAAATATTCCTCGGATACCTAAAACAACATAGTATTGTCATATTTATAATAATTGTAATGCAATCATTAATAAGTTAATAGTAATAAGATATATATATATATATATATATATATATATATATATATATATATATCTTATTATAAAACGCCGAACGTTTTCGCCAAAGAGAATTAATTTGGCCTCTTGAGGGCTGAAAGAGAATAAATTATAATTAGCTACCATATATTTTCTATTAAAAAACATTATTTATCTTACCGTAACTTTTAGAAATGTCGAGTTAGGATGTTAAAAAACTTAGCTAGTAACAACATAGTGGTGTTTTTTGTTACTATGTGCAAAAAAGTAGTTTTTAACGTTGGAAATGTATGGTAGCTTTGAATTTAAAACGCAAAGGTTTACCCAAGGTTAATCAAAAAACCCAATGTAACTACATTTAAAAGGAAGTAATTTTTTGAATTGTCGGCAATAAGTTAGTTACATTGGGTTTTTCGATTAACCTTGGGTAAACCTTTGCGTTTTAAGTTCAAAGCTACTATACCTACATTTCCAACGTTAAAAAAAACTTTTTTTGCACATAGTAACAAAAAACACCACTATGTTGTTACTAGCTAAGTTTTTTAACATCCTAAGTCGACATTTCTAAAAGTTACGGTAAGATAAATAATGTTTTTTAATAGATAATATATGGTAGCTAATTATAATTTATTCTCTTTCAGCCCTGAAGAAGCCAAATTAATTCGGCGAAAACGTTCGGCGAAACAATTGATACACATTAGAGTTTTTCTTGCAGATTTCTCCAATATTTAAGAGTTTACCATTTAACTTATCTGCAAAGATTAAATTTCTATTAAATATATATATATATATATATATATATATATATATATATATATATATTTATATATATTTATATATATATATATATACATATATATATATATATATATATATATATATATATATATATATATATATATATTTATATATATACATATATATATATATGTATATATATATATATATATATATATATATATATATATATCGTTTTCTGTCCATCAATTCGTCTTCTTTGATGGCTCTATCTCTCATTCCCCTTCTTCTTCTTCTTTGTTGTGGTATGTAATTTAAAGCTTTCTTTGGCCATCTATCTTCATTCATTCGCTTCACGTGATCATACCACACTAGTTGTCCCTTTCAATTCTGTATACACTGGAATATTCAGTATTTGTCCTCCTTCTAATACCGGCAGTCGAAATGCGAGAGGCGGCAGAGGCTGTAGGAACCTACATCTGTATCTCGCGTTGCTTCACCAATCTTGGCTGCAATATACTGACAAGATAATGAGTAAGAAATATTCCTTTAAAATTGACTTTTGCTACTTGATAATTTTTTTTAACTTTTTTTTTAGATATTTTAAATTGTTGCAAGTAAAGCTGGTTTTAAAAATGCTTTATGATCTTATCACTCAGCAACATTAAGCAAATTCACATTTTGTTTGCTTATTGAACATATGGATATGGATAAGATTCTTCTTCTTAGGGTGCCTGTCCGTTCCGAATGTTGGCGATCATTCTGGCTATGATGATTTTGTTGGTTGCTTTACGAAATTTCTGTGTTGAGGTCTTTCTATACCATGCTCTCAGGTTAGTAAGCCAGGATATTCTTCTTCGTCCTAGGGCTCTTTATCCTTCAATTTTAACTTGCAAAATGCGCTGAAGTAGCTCGTAACGGCCTTGATGGATAAGATGATATGGGTCATTTGGCCCATATGGCTAGTCAAGAAATCTCAACAGTTACTTGGCTTTTTTTTTATTAAGTCGACTTTATTGTTAAAGGTGAAGAGACAGAAGTGAAAAAGAGGAAAAACGAAGTTAGTGGTATGTGAATTGAATACTAAATATAAGTTATACAATTTAGAGTTAGTTAAACTAATTGCTACTAATAACATAACATAAACTCATCGCATAAACAAATCAACTTACCGCATCGATATCTGCAATAGGAAATTGTGTGATAGGCTTAACAGCTATATCGTCGATTCCAGTTTTTTTTCTGAAACAAGTAAAACCATTGGAATAAGCTAAGTTTAATTTACGTTTATATTAAATTGTTTTATACAGTGCTAGCCAAATGTCCCCTCCCCCTTCCAGCCAAATGTAGTTTTTGAACGGTGATACTTATAATAACGAAATTTCTTGGGGGAAAATAAACAAACGTAGTCTTCTTAACTATCATAACAGGTGACGTAATAGTCATACATGATGTTACAGAGCCACTGTAAGCGATAATTTGAAATAAGACCTAATGGCAAGGGATATCTCTTCTATTAACAGTTCTGAAAATTTTGTTCTTGATATGTTTTCAACATCATTTATCTTAAATGTTGTATTATGAGTGGCCACTCTACCTTTTACCAAAGCCCATATTTTTTCGATAGGGTTTAACTCCGGATGATAGGGAGGCAAGCGAAGTACTTTATGTCCATGTTGTTCAAGTTCATAATCTAATACATAAACTGGTGGAAAATGTCTTTTTGCTCGATGAGTAAACTTAATGAAAATCTAATGGAATTTGCCGGAAAAATATTTAATCTTCAGGGTGTTTCAAAAAAAGGTAAGCCCGTCTCTAGGGTAGGTAAAAAACTGAAAAATAATTGGAGTATGCTTAGTAAAAAATTTTTGTAACGCCATCCGTTTTCAAAATACAGGGCGCTGAAGAAAAAAATTTTACGCATTTTTTACGATTTTGCCGAAACTACTGGCAACATTGTAATGAAATTTTATTCGAATATGTTTTGTAAGCTGATACATCCCATGAATTTGTTTTTATATCTGATTCTGATAGAGAGCGCTAGTTACACGGATCGTACTAAGTATTAGTCAATATAACTTTTTTAAGAGTATAATTATTAATCAAAATTTCAAGTAAACTTAAACATCATTCAATTTTACACGAAAAAGGTACTCTTGGTAAAACTCGATACTGTGTACCGTTTTCGGAATATTTTGATTTAAAAATTATGAAGTAATAATTGATGCTGGTGTAAAATAGTTAGTAATTAAACAAAACTCACAAGAAGAAAATTAAATTAATGACTAAGAACATAAAATAAAATTCAATTACAGTAAGTGTTCAAAATGCCCTCCGATTTCGCGAATACACGTCTATTTTTTTTTTTTCTTAAAGATTCCATTAACCTAAACGGTAGGGGATCAGCTATGATGTCATTATATTGACGTTGAATTCTTTCTTCCAATTCTTGGCGTGACTATACCTATGTAACATAGACTTTTTCCTTAATATACGACCAAACTGCGTAGTCCAAAGGGTTAAAATCGCATGACCGAGGAGGCCAATGAATCGGAGCTTCTGCACCTCTACCAATCCATCGATTCGGAAAATGATTACTCAACCAATTACGACACTTTCTATTAAAGTGTGGTGGAGCTCCATCGTGCATAAAAAAATAAAGGTCTTCGGTCGTTTAGCGTTAAATCTTCTAATATCTCGAATAAGGAATTGTTTAAAAAATCAAGATACATATCACCATTTAAATTTTTAGGTAGAATATGATAACCTATTAATTTGTTACCTAAAGTTGCTGCATAAACATTAACTTTAAATGAGTGTTGGTAATGTGATACCCTTTTGACTCGTGGATTCTCATCACACCAGTAGTGTGTATTATGGAAGTTAAACATACATTGTCGCGTGAAGGTGGCCTCGTCCGTAAAAAGAATGCATTTTAAAAAAATTTTATTGTGGGCTATCCTTTGTTGCAATGTTTCACAAAAATCCACTCTAACCGGTAGATCATCTGGCAAGAGCTCTTGGACTTGTCTGTAATGATAAGGATGTAATTGCTCTTCTTTCAGTATCCGCCAAGTACTTAAAGAAGAAGTATTTGTTTTTACTGATATATTCCTTACGCTAACTGTTTGATCTTGATCAAGTAAATTTAAAATATTATTTTCTTTATTAATTGTTCTTGTTGTTCTTGGTCTACCAGAATTTGTTTTATTTTGTCTCACATTCCCAGTTTCTCGACAACGTCGTTCAACGGCTCTAAATGTTTTTTTACTTGGTAAGTTTCTTCTAGAAAACTTTTCTGCATAACGTGTCACAGCTGCACTAGAACATCCTAAACATTCGCCTAAGGTTAATAACATGTCAGTGTAGTCAACATTTGAGTACATTTTGATTTGATTTTACAAATAACAAGGTTTCAAAACACTAATTATTGTTGATTTATCGTCATAACAATCAAGAAATGTCAGATTTCCATGGCACACTTGGAGAAAATAGAGGTATACCTATTAGAACTTTATCATTACTACCAGCATCAATTATTACTTCAGAATTTTCAAATCAAAATTTCCGAAAACGGTACACAGTATCGAGTTTTACCAAGAGTACCTTTTTCGTGTAAAATTGAATGACGTTTAAGTTTACTTGAAATTTTGATTAATAATTATACTCTTAAACAAGTTATATTGACTAATAATTAGTACGATTTGTGTAACTAGCGTTCTCTATGAAAATCAGATATAAAAACAAATTCATGGGATGTATCAGCTTCCAAAACATATTCGTATAAAATTGCATTACAATGTTGCCAGTACTTTCGTAAAATGCGTAAATTTTTTTTTCTTTAACGCCCTGTATCTTGAAAACGGATGGCGTTACAAAAATTTTTTACTAAGCAAACCCCACTTATTTTTCAGTTTTTACCTACCCTAGAGACGGGGTTACCTTTTTTGAAACACCCTGTATGGTATCAACATTTAAATTATATTTTAAGATCTCTTAATTTTTCATAAATCATAATGTTTTTTATGTCGGGAAAAGCTTAGATTTTTCGAAAGATTAACCCGGCTTCATTATTGCCGGTTAAGTAATACCCGACGCATTTTAGAACTCTAATAACTTTAAAACAAAGCGCGCGTTAGTAGCCACTCACAGTAGCTTTAATGTCGCTCCGACTACAAAGTTTACACGGCTGTAACGGGCAAAGGAAGAAATGAAGGAAAAAGAGTCCAGGACGAAGAAGAATATCCTGGCTTGCTAACCTGAGAGCATGGTATAGAAAGACCTCAACACAGCTATTTCGTATAGCAACCAACAAAATTATCATAGCCAGAACGTTCGGAACGGACAGGCACCCTAAGAAGAAGAACGAGCAGCAGGTAAGTTATGCCCGGTCACGTAACAATACAGTGGGCTTTTTATTTTTTATTATATATCGGGAAATTGCATATCATTTTTTTACAATTTTATAAACCAAGTTTTTCGAAAATGAACAAAGACGACTACTAGCCTTTTTGCTAACACAAGAGACAGTCTTTGAGCCCCCGTCTAATTTTTTTTTAAAACACACTCTCCAAACTTTTTTCAGTTGTTATTTGGGTGGAGTCGGAGAAATTTAGAGCCTGGCGCAATATGGTAGTGGGACGTTTGTCTGTGAAACTGTCAGGAACATGTTAATTTTATGTAAAAAAAAATTTACGACCATATTGGTCATTTTATTTTAATCAATAGTTTTTATTATAAAAACACCGAAAAACATGTTGTCGGACAAAAGTAATGGGCCATTTGGCGCGTCGGACTCTCTAAACATGTCAAATTTATGGAAAAAAAATTATTACCACACAGCTGTTTTTAACACAATTCATCATAAAAACTGTTTAAAAAATTATGGCAGCCTTGTCGGACAATTCCTTCACGCGCCGAAGATGTCAATTTTATGAAACATTGTGATTTCTAACCACAGATGTTTGTTTTTTATTTTTCTGTTTGTTTGCATGTGTAATGCATAATAAATAATTTGTCCGACAAAAACAATGGGGCATATTGATACAATTTAATAAAAAAAGTATTTTTTTTGAAATGCATATATGTCTAAACTACACAGGGTTTGTGCATGCCTTAATATTACAACCATTTTTCCGATACTTTTACGAAGTTGTAAATAATTAATAATAATAAAAAAATCTAATTGTCCGACAAAAATGTTAGGGCAAACGAACAAAAAAATTAATTCTTATTGTATATCGCCGTTCTTAAACTGTAAAGGTGAGTTTATGCTTATGATTTTCTATATACATATTATATGTAATAAAATTTACCTCTAGTTTAAATATCTATTTTTTTTTAAATTTTAGAATTAAAATCTAAAGATACGTACACAACGTTTTTTATACATTTTAATATACATTTGAATATATTATACACATAGAAAGTGCGACAGACCAGGTGAGCTGTATCACCTTGTAGCTCCAAAATGAAACACCTCACTCCAATTTCATTTCGGAGCATTTGCTGCGAGGTATCGTGTAATATATAGAGCACATCTTAGTTTTTTTTTCCATTGATTCTCACGCTTGCACGTTTTCATTCCAGTTTCCAAGATTATTTAATATTTTATAAAAAAGTTGTAAAATGTAGTGGCTTTAATGGTTTTAATAATTTAAAAATGCAGTATTTTTTGTGTAAACATTTAAGTACAAATGACTCTACGTATAGAGAAATTTTCGAGAAAATAAAAAAAAATTCTGACTAAACGTGTTTGTTGTGTACGAAATCTTTGAAAGCGCGGCAACTAATCACCTAATCTTCCACCAACAAAAAGAAAGCTGTTGCAACAAGTAAAAAGAACGATTTACATCAGAAAGCCCTTCTACGGTATGGTGCAATGCTCATCTACGACGACCAACAGAGCTCTATGCTGAAGAGTGCGGGTGGATAAATATCGAAGGCACTTACGATTTTTTTTTGGTTTGATGGCGAGCAATGTCCCACAATTGACTAAATATCTGCTTATTCAGGTAATATATTTGTAATTAAATTTGAAATCTAATGTATTACGATGGATTTTCTGCAAAATTCTGCTTTTTCTATATTCAACATTTTTTATTTTAAATATTTTTTTGACATTATGTGCGAAAAATTTACGTCCTAGTAGTATTTTAACGAAAAAACCCGGTTTCACGCACAACTGGCTTCACTCACCCTTGATCGAAAAGTCGTGAGTTCGAATCTCATCTGGGTGGAGAAATTTTCGTTTATTAAAAATTAATGAATGAAAATAATTTCTATCCTTGTGCGATCGGTACTCACCGGAGGGACCGCAGACGTTCGGATACAATTAGCGTCTCTTAGCAAATAGAATGACGTCAACTTTGCTAAGTATCAAGACAATTACTCTACACACACACACTACACTAGGTACCTGACTATACCATGCCAATGATCTTAGTTGTCGAGGCACTAAATCAATAATAAATAAAATTAGTTCTAATAAGTTATTTTTTTAAATTATTTCAGTTGAATCGCTTTTAAAAGATTCCATTAAATTTATTATGTAATGTTTAATTTACATGATCCATTTTGAATGATCCTAATGATTGGGAGGCAAATAGATCGTCCGATGAAAGTGAAGACGAAGAGATAGGGGATTTATTCGCCAGTGACTCCGAAAGCTCTGATGAGGAGGATAATTATTAATTGAATTTTTGTACTAATAATAATGTTTTTTCAATCTATTACTTAATTTAATAATTTTTTTTTCACTATATATGAATGCATAAAACAATATGTATTAACTCACCTTTACAGTTTAAGAACTGCAGTATCCAATAAGAATTTATTTTTTTGTTCGTTTGTCCCAATATTTCCCTCCGACAATTAGATTTTTTATTTAAAAATATAATTAATTGTAACTACCTACTTTTGTCTGAAAAATGGTTGTAAAAATAAAGGATACACGAACCATACATGGATTAACGACATCGATTACGAATAAAAATTACGTTTATTTGTCCAACTATCAACTTGCCCCAATATTTTGGTCAGACAATTTGATTTTTTGGTTTAAAATATAATTACTTACAACCTCTTTTTTTGTCGGAAAATGGTTGTAAGTAAAAATGTCGCATAAAATTGACATCTTTGGCGCGTCCGACTGCGCACATGCCCCGTGAAGGTGAAGGAATTGTCCGACAAGGTTGCCATAATTTTTTAAACAGTTTTTATGATGAATTGTGTTAAAAACAGCTGTGTGGTAATAATTTTTTTTTCCATAAATTTGACATGTTTGGAGAGTCCGACGCGCCAAATGGCCCATTACTTTTATCCGACATGTTTTTCTGTGTTTTTATAATAAAAACTATTGATTAACATAAAATAACCAATGTGGTCGTAATTTTTTTTTTTACATAAAATTAACATGTTCCTGACAGTTTCACAGACAAACGCCCCACTACCATATTGCGCCAGGCTCTAAATTTGTCCGCCTCCACCCAAATATATGTGTTGATAAAAAAAAATTTAGACGGTGGCCCAAAGACTATGACGATCAAGGTCCGCACAAGGGCAGAAAAAATAATATTACACAAACCTGGAGAAAAGCCTATTGCCCTAAATAATTATGAAGACCGTAATAGAGTGTTAAATATCTTACAATTGCCGAAAAGCTTGAGGAATTTCGTGGAAGTGTTGGTTTCGTCAACCTATCCAGAATAAACCTGCCAAATATGGGATTAAAAGTAATGCTTTTGTTGATGCTATCCTAATAAACAGCTTGATGGGTTATTTTTGCAAAGCAATCAAGCTTTCTATAGTAGACGGATTATTGTGGCCTATTTTTAAAATTACTAGAAACATTACATTTGACAACTGATTTACAAGCGTTTCACTAATAACACATTTACATGAAAATCATAAACTATTACCTACAGGTATATTATGTAAAAACAAAAAGCAAATCGCATCAAACTTTATAAGCACACGAAGAAAAACAGTATAGAGTATCCAGTTGACATTTCAAAAAGATACGCTTATTTCCTACGTGCCCAAACGGACTAAAGTAGTGCTGTATATACATGTCTTCCCTTCATCATGCCCAAACCGTTGATCCAGGTAGTAGTGAAAAACGGAAACCACAGATAATCACATTTTTAATTCTACGAAAGTAGAATACGTCGACAACATGGACAAAGAAAATTTTAGAGTGGAGGATTAGACACGATGCTTATCGTAGTCGAGGACATCCTCCAACAAGGTGGTCGGACGATTTAAAGCGCATCCAGTTTAACTGGATTCAAGTTGCTCAAGATCGGATGCAATGGAATTATTTACGGGAGGCCTATGTTCAGCAGTGGACGCAAAATGGCTGATGATGATGAGAATACGTCGATGTGGTTGATGAATTCTGTGCTACCTATGTACTTATGATGTATCTCTAAACTTTAAACACTGGCCAATGACAGTATTTTATGCGTTTATGGATACAGCTGCAATAAACATGGTGTAAATTATTTTTCGTGAAAATAATATCTCGAAAACGCATAACTTCATCAAATATAACAAGCCTATTTGTATGCAACATATTATCCCATTATGATAAAGTTGCGGTGATCTCGATAGCGAATAACTTTGTATATAAATAATAAATAAGCATTGCTTGTATATTTCAAGATTTTGTGTTCCCGTGTTAAAGAAACTTTATTGTTTTGTACCTAATGAATATTGTTTTTTTGTTTTTGTATTCATTTTTTTTTTTCAAGTTATGTTCTAAAATCAATATAAAAAGTTTTGTTTTCTTTTATGTTTGATGATAGTATGCTCATTTTATAATAAATAAAGGTTTATTTTTATAAGTTATGTATATAATTAAATATTTCTTTTATGTACAAATCTAGTATTGGCATAAGCTTGAATCAGAGTATAATATTGTACATATGTAGCACAATGATGCAGAGTTAAAACCACATTGCTTTATTAATCTCTAAATCTTATGTTGTATTATTTTTGTTGGAACACCCATGCAATTTTTGCTCTTAAAATAACTTAAGTGAACTAAAAGAGTATTACAAAATGTTATCACATGTTTTCGGTTAGAAGACCACTTAAAAAAATAGGAACTAAGCATGTCGAGACTTTTCTTATAAAGTAGAAAAAATTACGTAATGCTATATTTCAAAAATATTACATACCCATTTTCGTATATATGATAAACACTGATACAAGCCGCTTTTTCTCTTAGATTAAATTTTAACTTACCTTAATAAAATTATTTTAAATATTGGTCCTGGGAGTCCTTTTATTATAGTGGAGGCATTAAGATGGCAACGGCCTTGCAGTACGACACCATTTATCTAAAAAAATAAATTTCTAATGTAGTAAACCTTATTTTAATCCCTATATAAAATAATATCTATAACAAATAAAGGGTTTAAAGCCTAGAATAACAGTTTTGTAATCCCAAATATTAAAAAGTTAAACACTTAAGTATACTCCTTGTATAATATTGTCCTTTCCCTGAACTTTTGTATCGGGTTGAATATGATATTAAATTTGAAGTAGGCTAAGATGACCAGGTCATCCAAATAGCCTAGAACATGATATTATAATGTCATTCAGAGTCTAACTAGTTATCGTTACATGCATATGTCACAGTGCTCCTCAGTATATAGTCTATCTGTCTCCACTTGTTTCATCCATTCTGTTAGAAGAAAATACTCCTCTCTTCATACGAGATGGTACCGTGTCATTTTTATAGAAAAACTCGCTCTATACGCAAACTGCCCTGATGTCAGTTTTGCCTATGACCGTAAGTCATGGTATCCAGTAGAGTCTGCTGCTATGTATTTAGTGTTATCAGTTTTGTTTTATACTTATAAATAAGCACCCTAACAATTTCTTTTAGGTTCTTATCACAATTCTAAGTGTATTCACTTGAGTGCTTTGTAAGTGAAGAAATACTTAACTGAAGGTCATTTCTTCGGGCGGTTCTATCTTCGCGCACTAGTTCCTGGTATAACTTGAAATTTTACAATAATAAGTATTTTGTCTTAAACCTTTGGTTTTGTTCTCTTAGACGGGCCCCGATAATTGCATTATCACTATCTTTCTCGGGAAGCAGGAGAGAGACATAGGACATTGACTCATGTTATTGGAATCGACTACACCTAAGTTTTCCCCCTCATAGGCCGTTTATAACCCTTACCACAATAACAGTATATTTCTTTGTATATTGCTATCATCACAATTCAACCATAGAGTCCCTATCGGTAAACGTTGTTTTATGAACTGTAGAATTTAATTCTGACTTCCGATAGGAGTTTCATTATGATCAGATCTACTTGAGCCTGATCTACTTAAAAATAAAGAAGGTGTTTTTATCATGTCGCTCATCAAAGTTCCTAATAAAATTATATTATTCTTCCGAGGTCTATTTTTAAATTCGGGTTTTGCCAGTTTTGCTGCTGGTTTCATTGGTCCACGTCACAATCGCCACTTTTTTATTTTCTTTATCCTAGCTTTAGATAGGTGTGTTGATTATTAACTTAAAAGTCTATTCCTCTCAAGACACTTCTTCTTAGGGTGCCTGTCTGTTCCGAACGTTGGCGATCATTCTGGCTATGATAATTTTGTTGGTTGCTATACGAAATAGCTGTGTTGAGGTCTTTCTATACCATGCTCTCAGGTTAGCAAGTCAGGATATTCTTCTCCGTCCTGGGGCTCTTTTTCCTTCAATTTTATCCTGCAAAATGCATTGGAGTAGCTCGTATCTGCCTTGATTTGTCATAATATGTCCCAAGTACTCCAGCTTACAGCTCTTCACAATGTTTACCAAATCCGCGGTTGTGTTCATCCTCCGCAGTACTTCTTCATTGGTGACTTTGTCTGTCCATCTCAAGACACATTCTGGCCAAATTTGTAGGTAGAAGAATAAATTAAGCCACCTGAGTCGCCTCTCTGATAGTTCTCGTAAGGTTTTATTTATAAACTCGGAAGAGTAATATATTTATAAGCCACTTTTTTTTATTCTTGTCTCGCTGTCTATTTTTGTTCTCACAAATTGAGATAAAATACTGTCATGATAGTGCGCCTTACCACGCTAAGTCTATAATCACCCTATAACAGTTTTAGTTAACTTTTCACTTGATAAAGTCCTCTTATGTCATATTTTTTCTATTAAAATTACTACTACTACATTTGGCTAGTTACTGTTCTACACCAGGTATATTTTACCTATTTTATAATATAAAATTTAGTTTTCTACTACCAAAAACTATATTTTAATAAAAATTTCTAATATTACCTCCAGAATTTCATCACCAACTTTAATTTCCCCTGATTTGTAGGCAGATCCCTGTGGATTAAGACCGCAAACAAAAACGGCCATACAATTTCTGTCTTTATGGCCAGCTAAACTGATGCCTATATCCTGAGAATACCGTTCCAATTGTACAGTAACGATGTTATGACTTACACTGAAATATTTCTTTTTTATTTTACCTAAAAATGAAGTTTTTAGTCAAAACATAATTTTCTAAACAAAATATATCGTACAAACCAATTTATTAAATAATTTATTTTACAATTACTCCAGTCGTCAGAGAGGAAAATTCCACTGAACCTCTAAAAATTATACAAGCAAGCTGAATTTAGCTGAAAACGTCAATTTGGGGCCCCTAAAAAGGTTTTCCCCTCGTAGGGGATAAACCGAAAATATCGATTTACCAAAAATCTGTACGCCGTTGAAAAAATGTTTCAAATAAGAAATGTAGCTGAGATTGAACAAAAAATTTATATTATCCTTTTTTGTGCAGAACAGACAAAAAAAACGCTTGAAGCGACCGACGATTTCGAATGTCAGTTACGAGCAAAAAATCAATTTTCTAAATAAAATTTGTATCAACTCGACGGTAAAAATTCGATATCTTTTGATTAAAGTGTCCTATCGATAAAAATCAGCATGCATCTTAAGGCATTTTGCCGCAAATGAAGTCAGTTTCTATGTGTGAAATAAATAAACGTTGCACGATTTTTATTATTTCTTAAGATTCTCATGAAATCAATAATATTTATCACTTCCATTGACTAGTCACTATATACTACTACTATCGCTTTTACAGCGTTCTCCGACGCCTTCCAACTTCTAACCGCCATTCTTCTCTATTTAACCATAGGCGTGGAGGGATTTCTCTTTCCTCTAGTTCTTTTTCAATTCCCTCTCTCCAGCTTCTTCTCGGCCTTCATCTTTTCCTTCTCCCTTGTGGTGTCCACGTCAAAATCTGTTTCGGAATCCTGTCATCTGTCATTCTCTGTACATGGCCGTACCATATTAACTGTTTTGTTTTTATGTCATCAACTATTGTATTATAAATATATGATAGTTAGCAAACAAAATTATATACAGGATGACGGTATAAAAGTCGGAGATGCCACACTGGACAGAGTAGAGAAACTCGTGTATCTCGGCAGTAATCTCAATGAGAGCTGGGATCCAACCGCAGAAATTAAAAGCCGAATAGAACAAGCCCGAGCTGCCTTTGTAAAAATGAAAAACGTACTATGCAGTCATGATCTTAGCATTGACCTTAGAGTTCGTATGACATCTTGCTACATCTTTCCTGTCCTGCTGTATGGAGTGGAAGGGTGGACTCTAACTGAGGATATGCTTAAACGCTTGACACCCTTTGAGATGTGGGTATACAGACGACTACTGAAAATAAGCTGGGTCGACAGAGTTAGAAATGAGGAGGTCCTTAGACGGCTGAGCCAAACAACACAACTCGTCAATATAATAAAGAAACGCAAGCTGAAATATTTCGGTCACATTATGAGACATCCTGAAAAATATGATCTTTTACATCTGATCATTCAGGGAAAGATCCAAGGTAATCGTGGTCCTGGTAGACGAAGAACATCATGGCTGAAAAATCTAAGGCAATGGAATCTAAAATCAACTACATCGTTATTTAGAGCTGCTGTCAATAGAGTCACGATAGCAAATATGGTAGCCAACATGATATCCAACGATCGATAACGGTCATGGAATTAGAAGAAGAAGAACTATTGTGTGCTTGACTCCCATCATTTCTCGTATTCTCTCATTTGGTCTCTTGTTGATTTGCCTGCTGCTCTTCTTCAGAAGTCCATTTCTATTGCTAGTAACAGTTTTTCTGTTCTTTGTTTCATTGGCCAAACTTCACTGCCATATGTGATTACACTTTTAAGTAGGTGTTGTATATGAGTTGTTTGTTCGCTTTAGATATTGTTTGGTCCCACAGAATGCCGTTCATCATGGATATGGTTTTTCTACCCTGTATCATACCCCCATCTTGAGTTATCTTCATACCCTTGTACTTGTATTCATCACAGTTTCTAATTTCTACCCCATCGTCTAATATAATCGACTGTTTTGTCCCTCCAATACACATGGCTTTAGTTTACTTAATATTGACTTCGAGACCCCATTTGTTATATTCTTCTGTTAACTTCCGAGTCATGTAACTCAATTCGTCATGATCCTGAGCAATCAGTATTTGGTCATCAGCGAAATATAAGGTGCACAGTGTAAATCTCATCATTGAGAGGGATTCCCATGCCATTACATTTTCTTTTCCGCGGCTTAAGTGCTTGTTCCAGATAAATTTTGAAAAGAGTAGGCGAAATACATTAACTCTGCTTTAGTCCTTTCGTGACCTTAAATCCTTCAGATATCCTTGATCCAGTTTTAATTTTTGCAGTCGTTCCATTATACTGACTTTGGACTGCTTTGATAAGACCATGCTTAATGTTGGTTTGCTGTAGGGTTGACCATAGTTTACTTATGGGTACACTGTCAAATGCTTTTTGTAAGTCTACGTACACCAAGTGAGCTTCTTTATTGATGGCTGTTTTTTTTTTTCTCAATAACTTGCGTAATAGAGTACAATCTCTATAGTCATTTTCAATTTTGTTCTTAATAAGTTTCCCATACATCCTACTTATTATGATATTGTACTTATTGTTATATAGTGACTAGTCACTATATAATTTCCATTATTAAAGACTATAGATCTTTAAAACCTGTAGCAATTATAACCTTACCATTGTTGAGATTTGGCAACAATTATGAGGCATTTTAAATATACCTAAATACCGGTGAATTTAAACTTTCACATTACAAACGATTTAAAACGTTTAAAATAGCGTCTTCTCGATTGCACAAGTACGTTTTTTTACACAACATAACCTCTGCTACAAATTCCACCCAATGCCGTCTTTGTAGAAGCATATCGTTTGTAATGTTTGAAAGTTTAAATTCAGTGTTTTTAGGCATATTTCAAATGCCTCATAATTGTTGCCAAAACTCAAAATCGAAATTTCACGTAATAAGTTTTGCAGATTAAGCTCTAACAATGAAAATTCCACAGCTATCGGTCAATGGAAGTAACAAATTTTATTGATCTCGTGATAATCGTAAAAAAATGACAAAAATCGCTCAACGTTTTTTATTTAACAGCCTTATAGAATCTGACTTCATTTGCGACAAGATGCAAAAATTGCATACGAAAGCTGCACTCTTTACTTTTTAAACTGCACATTGGTTTTTTTGTATAGGATACTTGATACAAAAACTGCAATATTATTTCGCTCGTGTAACTGACATTCAAAATCGTCGGTTATTTTAAGCGTTGTTTCTGTAAAACGCCGTCTACACTCTCGATCGAAGTTCTGCGGACGAAGCGTCGAAGTGAAGTTAATCAAGGTGAGGTTACTCTCTACATACTCGTGAAGTCAAGTAATGTAGTGTGACACTTCGTATTCGAATCCGTTCACAAATTGTTGATAGCACGAAATATGCATCAAAGTCATAAAACGGTCGTTAAATTTGTATTATCATAGGCGTACCTGAGGTGTTTATTCATTAAAATTAATATTAGTATTAATAATGTTTTAATACTAATATATTTATATTATTATTATTTTATTATTACAGACGGGTGTGAGTGTGAGATCTGGATTATGCAATCTAGTTTAAATCAAAATATTCTACATGTCATACGTCATCAGCTGATTTTTCAGTAGTAGTTCTAGTTGGACCTTTGGCCAATGACAACTTATACAGAATTTCAATATTTGCTGATCACAGATCCATAACTTTGACTGCCTATCAAAGTTGTCATATGTCATATGTCACCGTATCATTTCCGCTTAGATCATTATCTCTCCAGAAACTGATAGAGAATGTAGCGTAGAAGTAATTTTAAACTGTTTGTCCTCGTTTTAGTGTAGTGTTTTGTACAATTTATGTTATTTTTAATGTTTCCACATCCTACGCTTGCCGGATAGTTCTTATTTTGACGAAGTAAGTCTAAAACGTTAATCTCGAAAACCTTTTTTTCATCCATTAACTTCGAGTTTTTTATCGAAGTTAACTAATTTACTTCATCTAAAAAACGTTTTCTTGGCTTATTTCAGATGCCCCTGAAGATGCTATTTTAAGCGAAAGTACTTGGGCTAGATTTAATTAACTTGTGCTCGATAATAGCCTTATTTTCAAAGTTCATTTATTCGAGCATTCAACCTCATTTCATTTACTAATATATTTAGCAAAAAATAATTAAAACTTTCACCGCTAATGTTGGTTATTATATTATATTCATAAAAATAAGAATTTAACCATTAACAATTTTGTAAATAAGAATACCTTATCTCTTTGGATATTTTAATACTAATCTTCACGTTTAATCATTTTACTAGAAAACCTGGAATTCATATCGGAAGGTACTATTGGTTGCAGGATAATTAGGATGAATTCTCCAGATTTTTAATAATATAATGGGTATAGATGCCGGCTTTGGCCTCGTGTCTCGTCTGTTCAGTTTATATTCGAAACTTAACTTAAAAGGGTGAAGTTATTACGAACGAAAACAATTTATTTGTTTAGTACGTTTTTGATCGCATGTAATTTACGGCTCGTCGGTGTTTCCGCATCTACGGCAGTAATTAGCGTCTCGAATATTTCTTTTTTGAATTATATGCAGTGCGCGAGTGATTTTTTATTCCATATACCTACGAACATATACGTACCTTTCGCTCATGCTAGTTTTGTTGGATTGTTTGTGATGGCTTCATCATTAACATCAAGTTTTACACCGGTACTGTTGCGTACAGTCAGTAAGTCTATCTATTCACCAAGAGAGAAGTCTATTGACCTAAATGTTCACGATGCTCTGGTTTCTCAGAATCCCATAAACATGTGTTCGCAACATAGTCGAAAGTTGTGCCAACATGACTGGCGTAGGGGAGTCAACTATATATAGGTTCCTATCAGAAAGAAAAAAACACAGTATAGCTAAACCAAACACAAACGAACACTTAAAGAGAGGAAAAAAGCCTATTGAAATTGATGAACTTGCCAAAAATGGTATTCGAAGGAAAATTCATGGATTGTTTATCCAAAAAGAAATACCAAACCTAAACAAAATTTTACAAGAAGTTAGAGACGATTCGAATTTGCCTCTTATCGGACGAACTAACTTGTGGCAAGTTTTAAAAGAATTAAATTTCCGTTGGGAGAAATCAGACCGAAAATCACTTTCGATTGACCGGGGGGAGATACGTGGGTAAACTCAGGTCATACTCTAAAAAAAATTGGTTAGATAAAAATATATTAAGCTCCAGGCAAGCCTTTATAGAAGGTTGGTCTAGTGGTATCTCCCCACCTTCTGGTAAAGGTAGTAGATTAATAATTTCTTATATTGGCAGTGAAAAAAGATTTGTTAAGCATGGTTTGTTGGAATTTCAGTCCAAAAGCATAAAAAACTATCACGAATAGATGACAGCTGATGTTTTCGAAGAGTATTTTGAGCAGATGATTGAACACATACCACCAAATTCAATTATAGTATTAGATAATGCATCTTATCATTCAAGACTAGTATAAAGACTTCCAACGACTGCGTGAAAGAAACAGGATATTCTTGACTGGCTGCGGAATAAGTATCTGCGTTACGAAGATGGAATGGTAAAAGCAGAACTTTTAAAAATTGTCCGGCAACACAAATCTAAGTTCAAGAAATACATAGTTGACAAAATGGCGGCAAGGCGAAACATCACAGTCCTTAGACTTCCACTCTACCACTTCGAAATAAATTCAATTGAACTCATTTGGGCACAAATGAAAAGTTATGTGGCTAGAAAAAATACGTCATATAAAATACCAGCTGTACGTGAATTGTTATACGAGTCTTTACATCATATTACAAAACAAAACTGGAAAGATGCAGTAAGACATGTAATAGAAGAATAACAAAAAATGTGGGATCTTGATAACATAATTGATGCGACCGTAGAGACAGAACCGCTAATTATTAACCCTCAAGACGACTCGGATTCCGAAGTTGATCCTATTTATTTTGAATTTGAATAGTTTTCTAATCGTAATTATATAAGGTAAGTAATAGTAGTTGTAATCGTAAGGTATTAAAGGGGAAAGGCGCACAATATCGCCTGTCAAAATGTTCAATGTGTTTTAAATCGTTTTAAATAATTTTAAATCATTTTTTTTTTCAAATCCTGAGAAAACTAAAAAGCATTTTAAAAATTTAAAGGGAGAATGAATATTTATTAGAATAAATAAAAAGTTTCTTTTGCATGCAATATTTTCAATTAAAAATTATACTATAGTTTCTCCTTTATTTTCACCCCTGTTACATAACATATTAAAATAAACATTGTAGAAGTTTTCAGGAACTTTCTGCTCTCAGTAATATAATGTAATCTTTCATTCAGCTTTTAAATTTTTCAAAAATATTTATTAGTTTTCTCAGGATTCGAAAAGAATGGATACATTTAAAACACATTAAAAATTTTGCCAGGCGACATTTGGCGCCTTTTTCCTTAATTAAATAAATGTATCTTTTACACATGACAAGAAACTTTATTTTTGAATAAAATAAAGAAGTTTTATTAAAACAAAAATACAATTTAAAAAATATATTTATTTAGTTCAAATCAATGTTTCAATCATATACTCTACGACACTGGTCGGCCAAAATACCTTTATAATCGGATTATAAGGTTGACCGATGTGTTGTATTACTGCAGATACAAGGTGGGTTAGTCGAAAAAATCTTAAACCGTCAGTTTCAGGTTGGTTTTTACTATTATATCGTATTACCTATCCTCTGTTTTTCAGTTCTCTAATTAGGATTAAACTTGTAGTGAACTATCAACAAATTGTGACCCAGTACGAACGTATCGAACGAAGCAAAGCGAAGTCTCATGAAGTACCTGTCTACACTTTCGTAATCACTGCACTTCGATCTACTTCGCGAGTAGTGTACTGGCCGCTTTACATTTCTTGTTTGAAACATTTTTCTACTGTGCAGTTTCTTGCTAAATCAATTATTGTCGTTTTTCATACCCTACGGGGGGAGAGGGTTTTAGGGGAAAGTCCGGAAGTAGAAGGGGCAAACTTTTTTGCGTGTTTTTTTGGAGTCCCAAAATTGACATTCTCAGCAAAATTTATCTTGCTCGTCTCGTTTTTAGAAATTAAATTTCTGACGACTCGACTAAATCAATTATTTATATAATAATCGAAATATCGAATGTATGTTTTGCATATGTGCATATATGTGACTTTGACAATTGTCTATTTAGTTGCAATTAATGGCTCATTGTAAATACAAATCTTCACACAATCTTTAAATTTTTTATTAAATGGGTGGAAAAAGTTAAATTAATCAAAACAATATCTTTTCCTATCGAAATGTACTTAAAACGTTTATCTACCTAATACAGGTATAATAATAATAAAGGGCCAATGTGGCAGCATCGAAAGAAAAGAAAAAGGTATAAAAGAAAACAATCATAATGGTGGAACGAGCAGCTTGAAAATCTGAAGACAAACTGCATGAGAGTAAGAAGGGAGTGTAAGAGGTTAAGAAGAGTACAAGTAGGAGATTTGAAAGAGAGAATAAATAAATTAAACTGAATGCAGAATGAATACAAGAATGAGATAAGAAGATCTAAGAAAGAAAGGTTGAGTAATTTGCTTCGGGGTCTCGAAAGGGGTATCTGGGGGCAGGGCTTCAAGATTGTCTGTACCGAATTGAAGGGGAATCCTACCCCCTGCCTGAGGAGGGGAAACTCCGTTTAATACGAGTCCTCTTTCCTCAAGTGGAGGATAGGCGTAAAAGGGTTATTGGTTTCGTAGATGCGGAACCTTTCACTGAAATGGAACTCGGCGAGGATGTTGGAGGGATGAAGATCCGAAAAGCACCTGGCATAGATGGAGTCATGCCGAAGACAGTAAGACTCGCAGCACTAAAATATCCGCATGATTTTCTTAGATTGCTTAATAAACTGCTTGAACAACAGCAGTTTCCAACAATGTTGAAAGAAGCAAATGTTGTCCTTATCCCGAAAGGTAGAGGTGAAAAGAAAGAGGTGAGATTTCGGCCAATTTGCCTTCTTAGTTCGATACTTACATTGTACGAACAGCTTATAAAAGGCCGCCTTGAGCGAGAGCTAGAAGAAAAGCATACGCTGAGCGACCGCCAATATGGATTTAGAGCCAAAAGGTTAACCATAGATGCGGTCACAGAAGTAACCTCTTTAGTCACGCAGGATACAAAGGGTGGCTCTCATCCTGCTTGACGTCAAGAATGCCTTTAATACGGCATCATGGGAAAAATCGAATCCAGGCTAAGATAATTGGGCGTTAATGAGTTCCTGAACAACGTAATTAACAGATACTTTACTGACAGGTCCATAAGAGAAAAAGATTTGTCTTTTTAAGGTGCCTGTCCATTCCGAACGTTGGCGATCATTCTGGCTATGATCACATTATTGGTTGCTATACGAAATAGCTGTGTTGTGGTCTTTCTATATCATGCTCTCAGGTTAGCAAGCCAGGGTATTCTTCTTCGTCCTGGCGCCCTTTTTCCTTCAATTTTACCTTGTAAAATGTATAAATGTATTGAAGTAGCTCGTTTCTGCCTTGATTTCTCATTATATCTCCCAAGTTGCAGCTTAGGGTCCTTCACGATGTTGACCAAATCCTCAGTTGTGTTCATCCTCCGCAGTACTTCTTCATTGGTGACTTTGTCTGTTCATGGTATCTTCAGGATCCTTCTGTATAGCCACCGCTCAAAAGCCTAAAGTTTTGATAGAGTTACCACCTTCAATGTCCACGTTTCTACTCCGTACAGAAGCACTGAGTATACAGAAAAGGATACCAGTATCAGTTTGTCGCAGGGTGTTCCGCATGGTTCAGTACTAGGTCCCATCCTGTGGAATGTCCTATACGACGGGGTGTTGAGGCTACAGATACGTCTCAAACCTTTTTTGATTTATGGTAATAGGTATGGTTATTAATACATTTTTAAAGACCACCTCTCTGGAACGGTGGTAAAGATTTTAGCCGAAACACAGTTAATCCGGAATTACCCTGGGTTTTTCTGGCCTAGTATCCTACTCGGCCGAAAGATGCTAGGGTATCTTATGTCATGACGTAGATGTCCAAAAAAAATTTCCCCCACCGTTGCCTGTCAGAATTCAATGGATACCTTCTTAGGCTCTTACTGGAATCTAGCAATACTGCAATTAAAAAAAAACGTGGCAGTATTAAAAAGATACAGATATTAGAGGAGAAAAATTATATGGTTAATAAAATTATTGTTAAAGCGGATGAATCCTATTAATATTTATTTAGTTATATACATTGAGCCAATGTAGTTATCTAAATTAACAACTAGCAAATTAGGTATAAATCTGTATATCTCTTCATCTTAATCTGGATTAGAGTGATTGTCCTGTTTAATAGAAATAATTATGAGTTGACAAGCTTCTTTAATGATACTATCAAGAGTCAACGATTTTTTTTCTATCTTTTGATGTGGTTTACGTCCGGGTCGTTGATCCTGTTATCTACGTTCCTTTTTTTTATAGAATTTAATAAGAATTCTTCGTTATCCTAATACTAGAGTCCATATTTATATGTAAAGAAGTAAATAAGTAAATTAAAAAAATACCTAACACATCCACACTTTTAAATCCTAACATCCTATCTAAATGGCAAACATTTATGGTGCAAAAAAATAACGACTATTTAACATCAATCCGATCCTATCTGGTTCCACACGGTAGTGTTTAGTACCTATCCTCTATCTGTTGTATACGTATGATTTACCGACTACAAAACCACAATGATGGCAATCCCGCAAAAAAGAATTACTCCTACTGTACCAAAACAACACAGTTCTGTTAACAAAGTTGTTAGCATGAAAATCTTTGCTCTATCTTCCTATTTGGTTGTATTATACAAGCCTAGCAGACAATATACACTACCATATCAAGGGTGTGACCTGTAATTTTTTAAGTTAATTTACAAGAATTTACAAAAACATTTTGTCAACTTACCCATTGTATATCCAAACAAATCTTCTTCCGAATCATTCAGTATCTCATCCTGAGTTCTTTTAACGTTTCCAGCACTGGCCCTATCGATCTAAAAAGTATATATATATATATATATATATATATATATATATATATATATATATATATATATATATACATATACATATATATATATATATATATACATATATATATATATATATATATATATATATATATATATATATATATATATATATATATATAAGATGGTGGTATTCTTGACTGTTGATTTAAATATAAGTTATGATTTTTGAGGATGCAGTCAGTTTATTTGGCCCACAAGACAAAGAAAACTCTTTGACTTAATGTCAAGCTTTCGAATTTTATTTAATTCTTTTTCAAGACATCTATAAAAAGAAATATAAATTAACTAGTTAAAATTGTTAATTGTCTTACTTACTAGTCGTGAGATTACAGTTATTAATATTGTACTCTACAAAACAAACCATTATAAATATATTAAAATTTTTTTATTAAAAATAACTATATTGTCACTACATATGTCATTGTCATGGTTTGATTAATGGACATATATGAATGAAAATACAGTTATTTTATGTGGAAAGCAAAACCAGTAAATTTTTCGAAAGCTTGACAGTAAGTCAAAGAGTTTTCTTTGTCTTGTGGGCCAAATAAACTGACTGCATCCTCAAAAATCATAACTTAATATATAACTATATATATATATATATATATATATATATATATATATATATATATATATATATATGTTAAATCACTATCTTCTTGATTGACTTTTTAAAAAAGATTTATTTCACAAATAAACGTTACACTTAGTTATACGATAAAATGAAGCAAATAAAATTATATAATACAAATGTTATTAGTAAGAAACTTAAATGACGAGTGAAAAATATAATGTTAGTCCTGAATTTATAATCTATCTACAAAATGTGGTGTCGGCATTTCCCATAAAAGGCCAGCTTTGGTCAGAGTTTGATGTCCATGCATAGTCAGCTATCTCCATGGGAAAGCTTGCTAAAAGGATGATGAAATAGGAACTGATATTGCGAAACCAAGGTGTCGGTAACCCTTGAGTGGTTCAAGGTGACTATTTTCACACATAACAGCTCCCTTCATTAGTGAAAAGTCGATGCCTTACTTCGACTTTTAAAGCTCAATTGGGGTTTCTGAGACTTCTTTATTTTCTGGGCGTACGTGTGGTCTTCTTTTAAAGGTTAATCCTTTAAGTTTCTGTTTAATGGAACTGCTGCGATGTGGTGAAGATGTAGGTGAATCCTGAGGGTAGTTCATGACAAGTCTTGGAAATCTTTTGCGTCTACATTTGCAGAGGATGCATACAAAAACTAGAATGATAATTAATGATAAAGACAATATAGTGAACCAAGGAAAATGTTCTTCGATGAATGGTTGCTTCATGATTCGGTCGAATTCTTCTGCATATTGGTCCAGCTTATGTTGTGCAATATTTAAATCGCCTCCATTTATCTTATTGAGTTGTAACGGTTTCAAATTTGGTATATGGTTTCTTCTTCCGAAATGGTCACAACATCTGTATGGAATATTAACTGGATGACTTCTGTAATTTATTGATTTGATCTCTGGCGTGGACTCTAGTACTTCCAATAAATGCTGTACATTCGGGTAGTAAATCTTAGAATTGTGTTTACTTTGATTGTCTGGGTACTAATGTCTTTTCTTTCACACTTGATTGTAACTGGTAATGGATCGGATACTGTTATTTCTTGCACATTGTAATCTTGTGCTAAAAACGCCGACATCTGACAAGTTTTTGGTAAAAAGCTAACTGGTTTCAATAACTGTGCCTCACATATAGTATCGCTGTCTATTGGATAGGGAAGAATATCTGTGCACATTCTTATCCAGATATTAGTCCAATTTGGACTAATTGATTTGCATTCTTCTGTGTTTCGGGGGTAATACATATGAAATAAAAGGATGATGAAATAGGAACTGATATTGCGAAACCAAGATGTCGGTAACATATATATATATATATATATATATATATATATATATATATATATATATATATATATATATATATATATATATATAGATATATATAGATATATATAGATATATATATATATATATATACATATATATATATATATATATATATATATATATTATATATATATATATAAGACCAATGTTGGAGATGACCAACGCTATAATCGGTCTTACAGCACCGAAAAATGTGCGTCAACTCCGCCGGTTCCTAGAAATCACATCATGGTACCGCGAACTATTCGACAATAGCAGGACCGCTAAACATGCTTCTGAAGAAGAAGATAAAATGGAAATGGCTGATAAGCAGGAAAATGCGTTTGAGGAGCTACCAAGGAGAAAATGCGTACCAAGATATAAAATGAAAGATATTTTGTAGGAAAATCATAACTCCACCACAGCAGGCCATTTAGGAATTGCAAAAACAATTTGTCGAATAGCGCAAAAGTACTATTGGCCTAAGATGTTTAAACAAATTGCAGACTACGTTAGAGCCTGTACGAAGTGCCTCCAATATAAACCGTCTCAAATGCAACCAGCCGGGAAAATGCAACCGTCCACTATAGAAAATCCTTAGCATACTGTCTCAGTTGATTTAATGGGACCATTCCCAAGATCTGCAAAAGGAAACATTTTCTTCTCAATAGTCGTGCAAGACCGGTTTACCAAATGGGTCGTCGCCCAACCAATAAGAGTAGCGTCTACGAACTCCATCATCGACACTCTACGATCCAAGGTAGTTATGCAGTTCGGTATCCCGAAGAAAATCATTTCGGACAACGGCGCTCAGTTCACAAGCAGCAATTTTAAGGCGTTCCTAAAGTTCTATAACATAAATCACATTCTAACACCGACATACTCACCTCAATGCAATCCAGTAGAACGAATGACAAAAGTACTGAAAACGATGATAGCCACTTACGTGGAGGATAACCATAAACACTGGAACAAATTCATACCAGAATTCTGCTACGCCGTTAATTCATCAAGACACGATTCAACAGGATTTTCACCAGCGCTTCTTAATTTCGGAAGAGAATTAGACACAACAGAGGCGACAAATGGACAAGATATACAGGGGTATGCAGAAAACTTAAACAAGTTAGAAGCGTTAAGAGAACTGGCGAAAGTGCACATGGAACGATGGAACACGCTTTCAAGGACCAAAAGAAACATTACAATCTAAGACGAAGAGACTGGCGGCCACATCCAGGAGATCGAGTCATGAAAAAGGAACACCATCTATCATCGGCTAGTGCAGCTTTCACTAGCAAACTGGCGCCGAAGTACTCAGGGCCATACATAGTAACGTCAGTGATATCGCCAGTAATAGTAAAACTGAAATTGGCCGATAGTAGTAGCCGCAAGCAGATGACGGCGCATGTAAAAGATTTAAAACCATGGGTGGGGGAAAATGTTATTACAGAAATCGAATCCCCACCACAACCAAACGGTATTTAAAGGGCAATGCTAGCAAGCAAAATTCAGTTCATCCACATCAAACATGGAAGACATATTAGAAATACCGGAAGAGATGACTCCTCTGGGAACGCCAGAGAGACCCGAACTGCCCGTGCCACCAGGGAAAGACGCGGAGAGGATCATGAAGAGGTTCCACGAACTTTTCGGGACACCAACTCCACCAAAGAAGAAGAGCGTACCCGATACTAAAACAGGACCTGAAGCCCAATCCGCGTCCACTCCAGGAGAACCTGAACTTGGGAAACACGCCGATCTTGTAGAGATCGTCTCACAACACCTAATCAAGAGGGGGACCAAAAGATACAGAATATGCTGTAACAACGGGAGGAAGATTGTGATAAAGATAACGAGAGGGATAAATGGCATCACAAGGCTGTAGACGCCATATACAAAAAAAAGAGGTATGTTACTTTTTTTTCCAAAGAGAAGGGGGTGTAACGATGTTCTCATCGTTTAACAGTTTGAATCATGGGAGTTTCGATATTTGCGCATCCACTTCCTCAGCGAGATGGCGAAGTTAGTGGGATTCGGAGCGGCTATTTAAGGCATGTGAGTAGCGGAATTAGTCAGTCTTGCAGTTAGCGCTCTAGGCTTCTAGACTCGCAAGTGTATTGAACCTGCGAGACAACCCGGACAGAGAGATTTCCGCATTGAGGATCATACTGTGTCCTTAACTAAGCAGAACTCATCGGTACTGTGTACTGAACATTGCCGTGGGCCTGCACAGCCGAACATTTTTGTTTGCGAGTGTGATTGGAGCTTCCGCTGTATTGAAGCGGAAGCGAGTATAAGTCTGCGTGCGATCGAATTCACATATTTTATTTGTTTGTTATTAATAATCACTTTTTCTTTCTTTTATAGACGTTCGCCGGAGAATTCCTGCATCGCGGGATCCAGACGGGACATAGAATTCGTTTTATTTTTATTTTATACGGCGGAGAATTCATTTTATTTTTATTGCACATACGTTAAATTAATAGATATATTTTTATTTTAACCTGTGTTTTACTGAGTCTGTCGTCCCGAAAGAGCTACCCGTTACAATGCTCATATACTTTCGAAAATTTGACGATTTGGCTCAGAATTTACATTTAACTAATTGCAAAAAATACTTTAAATGAAACTGTCCCATTTCGAGATGGAAGAAAATGGATTCGTGTTTGTAATTACGGATCCAATGTATATAAAGAGAGCTATGATCCCAACACACCTTTTAAAGAGGTAATTATAATTCGGAACTTGCGTCTGACGTAACCAGTTGATTACGAAATTGATAGAGTTAGAGAACAAACTGACCAGTTATCTACTGAAAAATTAGTAAATCTTAAGAGCCAGCTTTAATTTGTCAATCAACTCTATAAATGGTATTAGAATACGATTATTGCGGAACATAACTGACAAAATAATAACTAATAAATTAAACATTTTTAATGAAAACCTGTTAGTACTTGAGGTTTTAAACATAAACTTATTTGTTTTACAACTTATCTAAATAAAACGAATGTATTTAGCTCGTTTATTTTTATTTTACCTCGACTTATGTCGTAC